GGACAAATAATGTAGTTTTTTTCTTAGAGAATAGATTTGAACTTTCAGTGTCTTCTACCAAGTATGAATAATACAGCTTAGAGTTGGGATGCTCTGCAAGATTTGAGTAGTGATGCCAGGTGCAGGAAGTATGAGATAAGTTTGTTTTGTGATGTCTCAGGCACCGCACATTTTGACAAGCAGCAAAGGATGCGAAAATAACTTTATGGCTTAACCTTGTGTGTACCTGAAATTATTGTCCAGTGGCTTCTTGAGCTCTCTCAGGCTTGGTGCTGTAATTACTTCTCTGGGGGCCACTGGATCAGGCTCCTGGTGTGACTCCTTGGGATGGTCCTATGCAGGGCTGGGAGTTGGACTTGATGATCCTTGTGGGTACCTTCCAACTCAACAAATTCTATGGTCTGTGCAGCCATAATCTTCCCTGAATAGAATGGATTTAGGCTTCTACTGTATCTGACTTGCCTCTGGCTTGAAATAGGTCATTGTCTTTATTGCATTGTAAGGGAGTGCTTATTTGCAAAATTAATGCACAGTTATCCACAATAGGCAGATTCAAGTTGATATATTCCAGTATATCTGGAATATTTCCAGTTGTCTGGCTGCCTGTGTCTATGTTAGCCTGCGTCAGCTTCCTTGTGTCAACAGCACTAAAAGGAGAATCAAATCTAATCGCTTGTGATAGAGAATAACCTTAACCTAATGCTACAAGATAGGCCAGAAACATTTATTTGATGCTTTTTTTGGAAAAATGATATGGTTATCCAAGTTGTAAAGGATTCATTACTTTTTCATGGAACAGCTTAAACAGTGTCTCAAATCCCCATTCTATTTCCTATGGAAAGGGACCAGACTTGCATGTGGGCAGTACTGGATGCACTGCAGGTTTACTTCAAAATGCGTTTAGATTTCCAGCAACTGTCTTTGAGACTGGAATAGTTTTGTATTTTTGTAAGATACTTGACAGTTGTGGTTTTATGTTTTCCTACAGGTGTAGGTTTCATAAATATAGTGGAGTGCACATAAGAATAAGAAAAAAAATATGTCTGTTCTTTCTTAATAACTTTGAGGCAGTTTTCTTTTACTTCTAAAAAAGCATGAATAAAGAGTGGATAAAGGGTTTACTTTAATCTTTAAAAACTTGAGTTTATTTTGTGGTGTAGTAACAAGCTCTTTGGCCTGGAACTGATTGATAAAAGGATTCCATATGTAGTGGTTTTGGTGCCTTTGTTGTTAGGCAATTCTTTGCTGTTGTCCTGGAATGTATGTGCTTATGGACAGTGCGACCCTTGCTAGGCCATACTTGCACATTGGGATTTTATTTGGACAGTTTAAAGAAACCTATATATGTGAGTGCTGCTACACTCAAGTGATGGAGCTCTTAAGAACTTCGTGTTCCAGGGTGTTTTGCACAGCAAAGATGGGGCTCTATCCTGGCTCAAGATCTTCAAGGCTGGGCTGTGCTCATGGTACAAACTAAGCTGAGTTGTCTGAATGAGCAAGTCTGCAAGGAGGAAAGATGGGCTGAAGTTGCTGGCTCTCCTGGCTGTGAAAATGCAACAGGGATGGTAGGGGTTTTGTGAGGCAAAAGCTGTGGGTGCTGTGCTGGGCAGCAGCAGCTTTTCTGAGTCATGTGAGGTCACTTGTTCTGGGTTCCAGTGGGGAAAAGACTTGAGTTCCTTCAATTGAATTGAAGCAGCAATCCTGCATAGGATGAAGGATACCTGCACACGGGTTCATTCTCAAGCTGGATACTTAAGGATTGCTCTGGACCACAAAAAACTCTGTCTTAGTATATTCACAGATGCAGGAAGCCAGAAGGTAAATTTGCTCTAAGTAAATAGCAGTACAAATTGCCACTTAAAAGGAAATTGTGAAGCTTGGAAATTTGTTTTGGCATATGTGTTCTTGGGCTAGAATATGCTAGTCAATACTAGATTTGTGAAAGTCTTGTCAGAAGACTTGATGAATATGGCACACAAAATAGCTTTTCCTTTTCTATGAGAAACAAGTGATTATTTGTTGCTATGGCTGACTTTGATAAATTTCCTTCTGCCTTCAGTGTATTTCTCTCCTTCAGTGTACTTTCAACTGTATGAGGAGCCTTTCTAAGATTATAGAATCCATATAAAGTTTGCCTGTAGGGTTCATTTGTGGAAAGGCTCTCTTGCACAGATATATACTACGTAATTCAGGGCAGTGTTTTCAGGTGAAGATAATTTTTTATAGGCTGGCAGCAAGTTTCAATTTTTTTCACTAATCTTAGAATCACAGAATGGTTTGGGTTAGAAGGGACCTTAAAGATGATCTTGCTTCAACTGCCCTGTCATGGACAGGGAGCCTTCCACTAGACCAAGTTGCTCAAAGCTGTGTCCAACCTGGCCCTGAACATTGTCAGGTATGAGGCACCCACAATTTTGCTAGGCAGCCTAGATTATTAGTCAGATTCCACTTGTCATGATACTAACTTTGGAGGAAGATCTCTGCTCTTTAACTCTGCCCATTTTGGAGGCTATTTGATTCTCTTGCCAACATTTCCAAAATAACATGCTTCCATTGTGCATTTTGCTGGTGGTTATTTGGTATCTTTACTATAAGAGAAGAGGAAGCAAGGTTCTGGTTATGGACACAAAATAGAAAATAATATGAGTAGGGAAGTTACTCGTTATTGATACTGAAAAAAAAGTATTTGCAAACACATGTGGCAGGGGCTCCTTCTTGGCACTGGTGACGCCTCACCTGAAGTTCTGTGTCCAGTTCAGGGCTCCCCAGTACAAGATAAACGTGGCTGTACTGGAGGGAAGAGCTGTGCTGGCTAGACTCCAATGAAGGGTCACAAAGATGATGGGCAAATGGAAAATGGAGCCAGGCTATCTTCAGCAGTGCCCAGTGACAGGACCAGAGGCAGTGGACACTAAATGAAACACAGGAGGTTCCTTCTGAACATCAGGAAACATTTTTACTGTGAGGGTGGCTGAGTGCTGGCACAGCCTTAGGGAGGCTTTGGACTCTCCATCCTTGGAGATACTCAGAAACCATCTGGACATGGTCCTGGGCATCCTGTTTGAGGAGGAACTTGGAGCAGATGACCTAAAGAGTTCCCTTACAACCTCAAATCCTCCTGCAACTCTGTCTTGCTTTGTCAGTGAAGAATCTTCCCTCTTCACCTTCCTCATTGCCAGGCAGTTAAGTGTAGTAAATTGTTCATTTTGATGAGGAAAACCTTTGCTGGGTAAGATTGCCAGAATAACCAATTAATAGCCATTTCCTTAAGTACTAATGAACCTATTTCTGGAAGTAATCCTGAGATAATTCCTAAAATTGCCAGGAATTCTCAGTACATGCAGCCCTGGTTAACAGCATGTTACCAATTACATGGTAAGCAAACATCCTAAGCCTTATATTGAACAGGTTAATTGACACGGTATTGATTCATGCTTGCTCTTTCACCAAGCATACAACTAGTACTTGCCATCTTGGGAAAAAATAACCAAATACAGAAACCCCTCTCTTTGCTTCTGGTTGGCAGTCCTAGGTTCACTGATAAATGATTGCAAGTTGAGAAGCAAGTTGACTCCCACCATTGCCTCAAGGGAATTTACGTATAGAATACTTGAATAGCACATTCTTTGGTATCCCCCCACTCTCACTCTTCGTAGTTTGGTTTGCTTGTTCCTGAGGAAACTATTTTTGCTCAACTGCAGCTTCTTGATGAAGTCTTTGTTCTGGTATCTGTTAAAAAAATTGGGCTAGAAGGGAATCGATCATTAGTTTACTTCAGGAAACTGCTGGAAGATAACTGTTATCTAGAAATAGAATGGCAAATAAGGTGATGTGCAAAGTGCACATTCAGTATTTTGGAGTTTGTGAGCTTCTCAATTTATGTATTAAAACTTGTTTTGATCCATCTTGGATTGCATCCTATTATTGGTGCCTACTTTTAAATATGAAATTATTTACATGGGTTTTTTTTGCAGAGGTAGATTGTCACAAATTGTACATTGAGACCTGATCTTGAGACTATGTATTATATATTATAATCCATGAAGTAGAAAAGAGATAGGCTGGGAAAGGTAACAGGAATCTTTTAACTGTCTTTGGAAGAAACACCCTGGGGATGCTTTTTAGAGCATCCTGGCTCTAAAAACTTGATTGAATATTTTTTTCTGATAAGTAGTCAGAATAACAGTATGTATGAAGGAGCAATTCTCCTCTTTCTCACCCATCCTCTCCTCTGAATTTCTGATTTTGCTTGGACTTGCTTCTTACATCAGTGTAGCATTATTGCCTTAAAGGTTTGTTTTTGTGCTTTGCTGCCTTTTTTAGGTATAAATTGAGATTCATGGTACTGTTAACCTACATTAGTGTCCAAGTCCTAAAGTGAACTCTTTCCAGTTGTGAAGAATGAGTAGCAACATGAGTGGTTTCAGAGTACAATGCTGTAGGTCATCTCTGTGCACAGGAGGTAAATGTCTTTTTCAGGTCATGTCCAAGGTCTGTAGCTTGCAGGGTAGACTGAATATGGAAGTTGAGACATAGAAGATGCTAAAATCAAGAGATCCTATTGCCATGTAAATGGAACTCTAGGTATGGGTTTGTGAGTATTGTTAACACATGTTGCTGAGGTTTAATAGAAAAACTCTTTAAGTTTTGTAATACTCTAGAAATTGGTTTGCGAAGTCTTGCAAGGAAAATACTTAATATGATTGATTAACAAGAAAAACAAAGCATTCCTAGAAGTTGTTTATTCAGTGGGTCCTGAATTTTAGGACCAAATGTAAATTCTGTCTGTTTATTTCACAATAATAACATATATATGTCACAACATATAATATGTGTCACAACAATGACACTGGATGAACAGGATAGCCTTCTGCACTTGTTTATTGATAATTACAATTTTTATTATGGACTTCTCTTAATATTGAGAGATTCTTGTTTTGTTCTAGGACAGATTCTGTAGGCTTCCTTTGATGATTAAAAATTTTAATTTACTGTTCTAGGTGTGGAACATCAAACAGATGATTAAATTGACACAAGAACATATAGAAGCACTGCTAGACAAATTTGGAGGAGAGCATAACCCACCTTCAATATATTTAGAGGTAAGTTTACATTCAAACAAATGTGGTTGGATTAATGTTGTGTTATCTTAATCTTATATAAAGTATCTGAGGTTAAAACTGAGAATACCTGTATTAAAAGGATATATTCTCCTTGTGCATTACAAACTGAGCTCTCTTCTAAGAGCTAGAAAGAAACTGTATGGGATTCCTGGGATTCAGTAGGGGAAGATCAGTGGCATGGTGTAATAATAATGTTGGTGCAATAGAAATGTCAAGCCTCTTTGTAGGGGCCAGGGGGGAGAAGATTGTGTTTATAATGGAGAAAATCATGCTGTGTTAAAAGCCAATATATACACATGAAAACATTTTGTAAGAACTAACTTTGCCGTTAAAGCAGATGACTTTCCTTTCTTTGTCTTTGAAAAATGGTCATGTATAATCCAAAAAATTGCATTAGTAGAAGGTGACTTCTTACAGAAATAAATAAAACTGTGGGGTAGAGTAAAATTTTTAAGCTATTTTGAATTTGTAAACTAACTACAAGTTCATAGTCTTTTATTTTTCATCACTCCAGATTCACAGAGTTGCATTGACATAGGACCATTAAGAGCTTAAAGAGCTGCATGCAGAAGTTACCTCTATTAGGAATTGAAGGGGCATCATGTGCTTCAAACCTGCCCTTTTTGTGCTTCCCTCAAGTATTGAAATAACTGGAGGTCAACCAGATTTCTTTTCTAGTCCTTTTATTTGCAATTGCTGCCTAAAGGTACTGGATAATTAAAAATAAAGATCTCATTATTTGAGGTACTTCTTGCTTTTATCTTAATATATCAGAGCAGGGCACTAGGTTGATTATACTAACGTTGACATTACGTCCTGAACAGTTAAGGTCAAATGAGGCCCTTGGTAGTTGCTTTACTTATTGCTAATGTGAAATGGGAGTATTGAATCACTACTATCACTGTTTTATCCACTCTGCTACATTTAAGCACACCTCTGTTTTCACAAGGACTGGTTCATTCCATATGTTTGGATTTATTATTGCTAGATGCAAGTGGGTTTTGTTAGATTGTGTATCAAACTGCAGTAATAATGAACTTAGGCTATACATATAAATCTGTAAGTTTGGATTGAAGGTAGGGAAGCTGTTAGTTCAGGTGTTTCTCACTTGTTTTTATTGAAACCAAAACCAAGATACATCACTGGAAGCTCTGTGTTTCTTCTGTAAGTCATTGATAGGGAAAAGAGCACTTACAGTTATAAATAGGTACTGGGAAATGATTATGACAGCTGAAGAGTAAGTCTGAAATAGTTGGTGACCACAAACCATGAATCTGAAAGCAGATTTGCCAGATCAGTGGATCCATGTGCCACTGAGATGAAGCTCCAGCTCTGGCTCATCAATGGGGCAGGGCAGCCCCATGAGGCAGAGCAGGGTGTTCCTCTGCGGCAGTGAGTTCCACGGGATCTTGAGCACATCTTGGGACAAGTAGTGCTAGTCCTGGCTAGGGAGCCACAAGCCATTGGGTGGAAGGTGAAAGGGGCTGACATTGTGTTTTTGCAGTTGTTATCTCATAAGACAGTCCTGTGGAAAGAGCTTACCATGGTTGAAATTAAAAGCTTGATCTCCCCAGCTCATTGCTATGCAGTTCCTCTGCTTCCTTTGCTCAGGTACTTGCAGTACTGGCAGTGACTAAGCCACGGCCAGTCACTAACCTGTAAGGAAAATACCCTGGTTTTGTTGGATTACTTTACTATCCAGGTAGTAGTTTAAGCCTGATCATTATCAAGTTGGTGAGCTGTAAAGCTGTGATTAAAATTAGGGAAGGGAAAGAGTTTGCAGCTGTGAGCCAAGAACTAGAAGATGGGGTGAGAGAGGAAAGGAACTTTTTATTTGGATGGTCACTAGCATAGATTAGATCATCCTCAGATGCATTTATCAAGGTGAACAGGAATAAATGCTACAGACCTGTAATTTGTTTAGTGTGTAGACTTCCTGTGGTAGAACTGAAGTGTGAAAGAAAAAAAAAGAAGAAATCTTTTGCTGAATGCCAGATACAGTTAGAAGCAAGATTACTCTCTACCTTTAACTGTTAAATTCAGTCCTGCAGCAGTTGTCTAGTGTGTCCTTTCTGTGCCTTTCCCACCTTTTGGCTTGGTCAAGACAGGGCTTGCTTTCTTTTCTCAGCATTTGCTTGGCAGCAATTTATCTGAATCTAACCTGTCACTGCTAGAGCTTATGTTTTGACTTCCTGTATTCCATCATTTGTCAGAGAAAGGACCAGGAAAACTCTGGATGCAGTACAGAAGAAAAAAGCTATATGTAAAAAGTTTTGAATGTAGTGTGATAAAGTGTGAAAGAACGTGTTTGCCTCTAGGAAATGCAGAACTAATAAAACACAGTAGTTTTGATACAAATAAAAAAATGTCTGTCTGACGTGTTAGAGCAAACTTGCCATGTACAGAGTTATTGTGTGATATTGGGTCTGGGGCTCAAGTTCTGTACCTGGGTGTCATCACTGACTTCTGTGGAGGGCTCCTCTTTCCCCTTAAGCTTTTACCTGTAGTCTGTGTCTAGGTCTTGATGTGGTCTGTGTAGTCTCACCAAAACTCTCAGGTGGGAAGTAATGGAACTTAGATTTCATCCATCATCTTTTGACCTTTCTCTTTTTATTGCTTTGCCAAAGACTCATTTCTGGCTGTAATTCAGTCCTGGTTTTACCCAGAATCTGTATGAATAATTTTGCTAGTGTGTTACTTGAATTGCATCACCCTTCCCTTTGTTGCCTTAGATTCATAGAATGAGTTGGATTGGGTTGGGTTGGAAAGGATCTTTAAAGGTCATCCAGTTTAACCCCCTCTACAATCAGGGGTAATCCAGTTTAACGCCCCCTCCAACCTGGCCTTGAATGTTTCCAGGGATGGGGCACCCACCACCTCTCTGGACAACCTGTCCCAGTGTTTTACCACCCTCATCATACAAGTTTTCTTTCTTGTGTCTAGTCTGGATCTACCCTCTTTTAGTTTAAAACCATCAGCCCCAGTCCTAAAACAGCAGGCCCTACTAAAAAGTCTGTCCTCATCTTTCTGACAGATCACTTCAAATATCAAAAGGCCCGTTAACTATTACAGGCTGACCAACTCCAGCTCTCTTGGCTGGTCTTCATAGGAGAGGTGCTCCAGCCCTCTCATCATCTTTGTCACCTTCCTTTGTACCCTCTCCAACAGGTCAATGTCCTCTTACGTTGGGAGCCCAGAGCTGGATGCAGCCCTCCAGTGGAGTGTCACAAGAGGGGCAGAATCACCTCCCTTGACCTGCAGGCCATGCTGCTTTTGATGCAGCCCAAGATAATGCTTGGCTTTCTGGGCTGTGAGTGCCAGCTCATGTCCAACTTTCCATTCACTAGTACCTGTTCGGCAGGGTTGCTCTCAATCCCTTCATCCCTCAGCCTCTATTGATTAAAATCCTTCTTCTGCTCTGACCTCTTGGCATTTTCCATAAAATGTGAGTGACTCTTGAGGACTCCTTAAGAGAGTAGATTGTGTCTCTTGATTATCTCTTGAGGTTGCTATCAGCAAGCATGTTATCTTCTTTTGGCAAAAGTCTGAATTAGTCAAAGCTAAATGCTAGGTATGCATCTGCAAATGAACACTTTTGCTTACACCCATATTGCCTTTCACTAGACGTAAACACCTAGTTTTATTGTAATGCTTCCTGCAAACCCATGGCTATTTTTATTCTTCTGGCAAGTTTGACAGCTATCCATCCATCTTCCAGAGTGTAGATTTTCAGTATCATAGATTATTTGGTTCTTTTGTACTCCTGCCTGGCTTTACATTTTTAATTTACTACACTTCTCACTGTCTGCTCGTGTTCACAGAACTTACAGCACCCTGTACACTGGCTTCTGGCCTGTGTTGCAGCTGCTTCTGAAGACCTGTCAAGTGAAGTTGTGGTTGAACCTGGTGACAACATTGCCTTTCAGTTTAAAGTGAAAGGAAGGGTTGGGGGGAGCAGAAGCTCGTGAGAAAAGTGCAGAATTCAACAAGAAAATAATTCTGAAAATTGAGCATTCAAAGGAATATAAAACATACATCTCATTTAAAAATAAAAAGGAAATTATCATTGCTCAAGAAATACAAGCTTTTGTTTCTGTGTTCATCTGAAAGTGAAGACAAAATTTTCACTGCCCTCAGATTTAATTTTTTCTCAATTTCAGGAGAGGGTGTCAATGCATTTTGCATTAAAAGAACTTGAAAACTAACAGTTGTTGCAGCCATCATTTCAGGTTTCATCAACTGACTACGAAAGAGGAATGCTTTTCTTGAAATACTGAAAGTGGTTGACTTGTACTGCGTTGAATTCAGCATATATTTAATTATTCCTGCAAGAGGGGATACTCGGATTTAGGGGTGTCTCCCTGCCTTGATCCATCACTCCTCCGTGATGGTCTTTTGAAAGTGAGTGTGCAGCAGGGGGAGAAGAATGGAGCGTGCAAGCCTGGGTGGAAGATGTAGTTTGAAGTGGGAGGGCAGCAAGTTGCTTCCCCTGGTCCTCCCTGGGCAGGAAAATTAGGGCTCAGGAGGGAGACCAGAGCTGCAGAGAGACTTGTGAGTATGTGTATAAGGTACAGGGGGAGGAAACAAAATGTACAGAAGAAAGAAAAGAACATTTGTCATTAACCACACAATTTTCTTCTAATCATTATAATTAATAATAGCTTTGGGAATCTTGTCAATGTTCTCTAATGTGATGGTAAGAAAAGCTTTTCTGTTTGTTCTGTCTGGAAGAAAGAATAAACCTAGTAAGCAATGACTGTATTAAAATCCAAAAATGGCTTGTAGCCAAATTTCCTTCTTCTATAATCTTGGCTTTTAACTTTTCCCATTTGCTATTTGTGACCTCAGCTCAAAAAGACCCCTGAAAATCACTGTCAAAACACAGAATGGTTTGGGTTGGAAGTGACCGTAAGGATCATCACGTCCTAACCCTCCCTGCCATGGGCTGGGACCCTTTAAGTAGACCAGCCTGCTCAAAG